CCTCCCCACCGAATCTCGCCGCATTCCGTACGGCCCTATATATTTCCTCCCCTCCCCTCGCCGCCGATCCGCCACGCAGCCGCGCGCGCGCGCCTCCTCCAGCAGCGGCGCGGTCCACGGTGAGTGGTGTTCGTCTCCAGGCTTTTTCGAGCACGCGTGCGTGCGTGCGTGCCAAGTGTTTCTCTCGTGTTCGCCTGCGTTTCTGCTGCTTCTCTGTGGTACCAGATCCGTTCTACCATCTTCCTGCGCAGCATCGGTCTGTGGTTTTCAAAAGCGCCCACGTAATTTTCCCTGTGGTCTCTTGCGTGTTTCGGTCGTCGGCGGCCTGCGAGCATGGCGCAGCAGCGGAGATCAGCTCGTACCGCGCTGCGCGGCTCCATGGCAGGCCCAAAGCCGCTTTTATCTGCCTGCAAAAGTGTCGTGTTTTTGGCTTCCATTTCGGTTGGGTTTTTCCGCTGCTTTTCGAGGCCTTCCCCTCTTTTCTTCTGCCTTCGCAGCGGCGTCAGCCAGGAACCACCACATGCGCTGCTGCTGCTCGACGCAATGCCTTCGTCGCTCCACAATTCGCGTCGCCCATCGTTTAGCCTGTATTTTGAAATTTTGACCCGTCGTGTTTTGGGACATCTACCCGATTTTTCCGCATGCTTTTCTGTTTGGGTCGGTAATGGCAGCAAGGAGCATCGGCTAGGGTTCTACTCTTCGATCTGATTCCTTTTAATTCTTCGATTCGATGGGCAAGCTTTCGCAGTTCTATTCGCGTGCGCCGATCTTGGATGGATCGGCGTGTGGTTAATTCGTGCGCTTTTGTTCTTGCGGCAGACAACGCGGAGGCAGATGGACGCGGAGGCGGTGAGGACCACTCCTCCGTGCGCGGCTCAGACGCAGGACTCCCCCATGGTACGTGCGTGCGTGCCTACCTACGTACCTGAAGATCACCACCTTTTCTTTTGCCAGTCCGGTTTGCTTTTGCCTTTTTGTTCGTCTCTGGGGCAATCTGTTGGATCTGTCTACCTTTTAAT